TGACCGAAAATATCCCAACCCATGGGATGTGAATAGGCCAAAGTTCAGCATAGGATCAGATGTTGAGGAGATTAAGACGTTCTGGGAGCATATTGACAGCATATGGGCTATACACCCTGTTGCAGACAATGTGAAGAAGGAGAGAACTCTGGAGTTCGTCGATGCGATCGATTTGAAGGATCAGTGGAAACGAATAGCAGAGTTTGAACCAAATTACACATATGAGCAGTGGAAGGCTGCTATTTTGAAGTTCTATCCTGAAATCGATGAATTGGTTTCAGGATCGCTGGATAAGATTCAGAATCTGTGCAAAGTTACAAAAGGATTGGAAAGGAAGGCCTTAGGACCTTTTCGTCGTTTTGCAGTGGCATTCAATAGTGAAGCATTGAAGTTGCTTACTCCGCCGGCACAAGTGACGAATAGAGACCTGGTGCAGATGGTGTTAAAGATGTTGGACTCTAGCTTCGCAAAAGAAGTAGAGTTGACTCTTAATCAGCCATTGGCAGTGGCAGCAGTTGAGCTGAATAGCGAGTTGAATCTATCACCACCATCGGTGGTTATTCAGCAAGCTATGAGTGCGCAGTTAAATCGACGAGGAGACAAGTTCACATTTGTTCATGTGCTCAAAATAATTGATTACTTGATGTGCAACTGGCCTGGGCGAATAACAATGGACAGCTTAAGTCTGGAGGGTAGCAAAAGGGCTATAACTGTAAATCCGCTTTCAGCAGCAACAGTTGACCCATTGCTTCCAACTGGCGAAGTGTTGTCGAGCGCTATAGCTTATTCAGTTGAGAACGAGATTATGCGCGAAGTGGATGACAAGCTTGATCTCTTTGCACAAGAGATAGCTAGTATAAAAGATACCATCTACTAGATAAGAAGATGAATGAAGCTGTGAAAACGATGTCAGATATGGTTGAAAATTCGTTCCGAGTTTTTAATCAGTCTCTGAATAGTTCAACACAGACAGAAGTATCAGATGCAGAAGAGAATGACAGAGTAGACCACCTATATGACTGCAGAGACGATGAGATGGAGTCATATAGAGTGCAGCAGTCTATGGAATAAGGTTCTCAGGTTACTGTCTTGGACTATTCTGTTTATTCCAGACTTCTCCCCTGAGTTTCTTATTCGAAAACCTCAAAAGACATAAAGACGAAAAGTGATTGGACAAAGCTGGTAGAGCCAGTTGAATTAGAGGCAAGGATAAAGTCAGATGCATACTCAATGTGGAAAATAATCAGTTAATGGTATTTTTCAACATGGAGAGTAACATGCATATGGAATTATGCATGGATTCGCCTGGCAGTGATCTAAAAATAGGGGAGGGTTCACCCAAACCACTTAGCAATCTGTGCAGTGAATCTGTTCGATTTATTCGTCTAGAATAAGTCAGGACATGTTCCTTTAATATTGTTTGGAGTTGGCACCTATCTCTGCATGTCGAGTTGCCGAATAAGGCAGTAAAAACGAAGAGCATTGCTGTAAAAGACTTCTGCAGCTGGCAGTTGGCTTATACAACAATATTCAGAGGGACAGACAGTGTTGGTTGTCGTCTTTTGTTTTGGCTTATTCAACTCAGTTGCATGGCTGATTAGCAAAAGTACAGACAGGACCAGAGCTCGAACTCAGGGCACCCGCTCCTATTCAGTGGCTAGACCAATAGAAACTGAATAGAAGTGAAGTGTTAACTTGGGATTTGCCAGTGGTGCAAATAGGGCAATGCATCAGTTGTGATGATTCCCTGTTGAAGTGTTGGTTTCCACTGGTTTCTTGTGAAGCAAGGAAGTGGTGGGGTATTGATCAAATGAGCGATTGCAGTGTGGAATAGCAGAGTCTTCAGACGAAGGGTGGAACTGGTTCAGTCAGAGATAATCAGATTGACCGAATTAGTTTCAGACCTGGAAAGCGAAGAGGATCTATGTTGACCGATGGAATCTATTAAATCTGCGAAGGGTGGATTTAATTTCTTCTATCAAAGTCTGTGACTAGGACCAGAGAGCTGGTTAAGTTGTTGGCAAGACTGTTGTTCTGAATAGCGTTTTGAGTGGGGGCACTCAAGATTTAAAAATGGGGGAGATGATAAGCATGCTGGCAGAACAGCCATGAAAACCTTTGCAGAAGTCAGAAGTTGCATGCTTATTAGTCTATTAGAGTCAGCATGAGCTCCGAATGGCTGATTAGGGAGTTATTCAACTGGGATCACTGGACATGGAGGTGGGGTAACTCCCAACGAAGTGAGAAGGTTGATTTCTAGTATTGAAGCCCGCATCATACATGGGGAGCTCCACCTGTGTCTTACCAGCAGGAGATACACCATATACGAGTCTATTCAGCGGAGGATTGTCAGTCGGCGAATAAGCGAAGTGTCATATGATCACCTCGGAGATTCGGAGTTAGACCGAACCCAGCCGAGTGGATAGCCGAGTAGAACCCAAATTGGGAAGCTCAAGGATCATGCAGTCACAGTTGGTCACATTGCCTCGGAAGGCGAATAGTGCGAGTGGTACCGAATAGACTGTAGACATATTTGGTGTCTACAGGAAGCTAGAGAAGAGCTCTACTCAGTCCGATGCTCAGGACTGAGGGGAGACTCTTCTGGACAAGGGACTATTCGGTGTTAAGGTTGGATAGGGGTTGCTGATCAAGCCACATGGAAACCCGAGTCACCTGGACATCACAGCCACACGGGGATCACATCACCATGGAACAGCCAGAGGGCTAATCGACCAATCACATTATTCATTTGACAAATGTCACATATATCTATTATTCGGAGGTTTGTATTTATTGTTTGTAGAAGTTACAGGGTTGGGGTATATAAGTAGGGACATTCCTGTGGTTCGTCACGACTTGTACCCGCCCCACAATTAGGGTATATAGTTGGGGAATTGATTAAGTCAGTGTCACAGCTGATTGTTTAGATTCCTTCTCAAGTGTCTCGTGACTGTGATTGTGATTGTGTTGTGTTGTGTTATAGTGTCAGGTCAGGTCAAGGTTATAGTGTCAAGTGTCATTAGCGATCAGTTCAGCTGTTTCACTCCAGTGTGTGCAGCTGAATAGTTCGTTCAGTGTGCAATAGTGTCATCGGATTACTGAGGACAGTTTCCGAATAGTGTCATCGGATTACTGAGGACAGTTTCCGAATAGGGTCAGGCTCGACTGGAACATAGTCCAGTGTGCTTGTTAGTGTCAGGTTCGACTGGAGCATAGTCCAGTGTGCTTGTTCGCTCCAGGTGCACAGCTGAATAGCTTGTTCAGTGTGCTTGTATTGTGTTGTATTGTGTCAGGTTCGACTGGAGCATAGTCCAGTGTGCTTGTTTGTGTCAGGCTCGACTGGAACATAGTCCAGTGTGCTTGTTTGTGTCAGGTTCGACTGGAACATAGTCCAGTGTGCTTGTATCACATCTTGTCCCATCTATTCACCCATCATCCGTCTATTCATCCATCCACATCCATCTCGTTCCCATTATTCATATCTTCCATCCCCCTTCTCCCTTATTCACTCTTCCTTCGAGTCTCGCACCTTATTCAACTGTGTGTTGAACAAGTCGCCTCACTCTTGTTCTACTCTCTCTCTACCTTTCTTGACTTTGATTCCCTCACTTTGTGGGGATCACCTTATTCGTTATATTCATTTTCCTGGGTATCATCCCCTATACAACCTATTCAGGCTCTGTCATTAGAGGCTGAACTCGTTGCTAAAAGTGTTTGTTGTGGTTATAGGCGTATCCACGCCTGTGTCTATAGCATCCGCATCAACGCATCTCCATAATAGTGAAGAAATCCCTCCAGTACACGCCCATTGGTCCATACCTCTATCTCTCGGGATGCGTCCTCGTCAAGCGAGGCGCCGGCGCGGGGGCTGTGGCATCCATGCGCGCGGCGGGTGCGACCCTCCGCAAGAACCGCTCCACACTCTTGGCGTTCCCCGAGGGCACTCGTAACAGCGCGCGCTCACCCAGCCTACTGCCCTTCAAGAAGGGCGCATTCCACATGGCGGTGCAGAACGGGCTCCCGATCGTGCCCATAGTGTGTGAAAACTACTCTCACATGTACCGACGCGGGTATTTCGAGCCGGTTCCGCTCAGGGCGAGAGGTACGAGTTAAACAGCATTCTCGTCCATGCTATACTGAACATGAATACAGTACTCCCGCCGATTTCAACGGCAGGGCTGGGTCCGGAAGATGTGTCGGACCTGACGGCTCGAGTACATGCTCAAATGCTGGAAGCATTGCGGGAAATTTCTCGACCATTACAAGCAAAAAAATAGACTGTATCACTGGATCTATCACTGGATCCGGAACTCATGTTTCGCATGACATGCCTAGCATTGGAGATTGAAGTCGGCGTCGCGGCTTAAGTGTTTATTACATAAAGGTATATTAACTTCCATTCTGGAAAGTTGCGCACAAAAAACAGATTTCGACGAGGCAGTATTCAGAGAGCTGTGATAATCATCTGATGCAAGTAATCTAATTCCCTCTCTTCTGCGACTAACAACTATTTCTTGGTAAAAGCGGCAGAGTGAGGCACATGATTAAAAGTATGTCGTAGGTGATATTAACGGTAGTCAAGGCTTAGAAATGCCTCCACGACGTATCCACCCGACATGTCCTTGTCGCCCAGTTCTTTCAAAGGTCGTATACGTAAGCCTCCTCCGTGCCCCACGCGTGGGGAGATTGAAGCGCAGCGGAGCAGTACTTATGCGATAGAAGCTCTTGCAGATACTGAAGAGGACGATGTTCCTGATGACGATGCAATTAAAGTCGACGGAAGATTAATGCAATCCTATATAGCCAGCATAGATATACGAATTTTTTTTCTGGTCATGCTGGGCCTTAGAAATTAGAATTTAGGTGCTTGGGCTCTCGGGAGTCCTGGTGTGCGGTTTAGAGCCCCTATGGCCTTCAATGCAGCGGGACCAAAATTGCCGCACATTCTCTCCGGAAGTACTTGCGATGCAACAGAAAAAAAGAAATGAACAACGGAGATATGCTTTGAGGGGGAATCGAACCCCCAGCGGGTCGAGATGCATTCGTACCACCATGGCATGAGAGTGCCAGGCTACCACTACCCCACCAAAGCTACAGGCCTCCGGGTTTGTAGCTAAGTATCAGTCTCCAACTCTCACATTATTTTGACCGGAATATGGAGTCAGAATTTGAAGAAATGGGCTTTTTCAGAACGCTAGAAGTAGAAGTGCTTGAAGGAAAGAACAAGTACAATTAACCATTAAATGGCTACAGCAGTAGGCAAGTCTCTTTGTAGGGAGGGAAAGGAAAAAGAACCCCTTACAAGATACGACATGGCGCTTATAGGGAATCGAACCCCAAAGGGGTCGCTGAACAAACAACAACTTGAATAACCCGGATTCGTGCTCTAGTAGTAGAATTCGAGGATCTGTCGTCAAGCAAAATGACTCGGTAGACAAAAACGGAGTGCATCAGGGAGATCAGGGAGCGCCAGGGAGCTCGCGTGGCCTTTTGCGTTTCGAGCCTTTTCGGCTGGCGTCGCCGCGGCGGGACAGTCTCAAGATAGAGCGCACCTCCCTCAGCTCGCGGCACTCCTTGTTGCAAACATGTTTTGTCGCGCTTTCGAGGTCGATGAGAACCGGGCGTCCCGTGTGAGACCACAATACGTTGCGGACGGTAGTGTGCCCAATGATGTCGTTGTGGCACCAGCCACTGCGGTGCATCTTGTCAAGTGCCGCATAATTCGCGTTGCTGGAAATCTGGTTAGATGAGAGAAAAGGGGTTTCGAAACCCACGCACCGATCCGCCAGAGTCAGGGGGCGATCATTCTCGAGCTCTTGAACGAGTCCGGTTACGAGGAAGGCGGATCCCCCGGACGAGACGCAAAGGCCGTAGCATTTAGAAATGCATTCTTCCATGTCGTCTCTGAGGTTCGTGTGCTGCGACGATCGCGTCAGTCTGGTCAGACACCTTTACCGCTACCGGTGAAATCAGGGCGCCGTTTTGGAGTAAGATTCCACTGTAGACCGAGTTACGATCGTTGTGGGACAGGCCCTCAATGACTTCCACAGAGAACCCGCGCGCTGTCGCGAGCTCTCCAGACCATCGCCTTTGAAAGTTCAGTCCTGCGCACGAAAGAGTGGTGGCTTTTGATCGAGTCGTGGCAGAGCCATCCCCTCCAGAATTACCTCTTCCGTTGGCGTCGTCGTCGTTGACAGGACAAGAGTCACCAGAGTCCGAGTAGGGGTCGCGACCATGCTCGTCAAACCTGTGGGTGCTAGGTTCGATGTCTGAAATATCCAACTCGAACGTGGCGGCGTAGTGGTGCAATTCGGGAAACCACTCGGTATGCCACTCTCAGTAAACCAGTCCTTCATCCATTCTTCACGCTTGCATAGGGACATCAGCGTGATGCCTAGGAAGAATAGAAGAACGCCATCTTGGCGCTCCTCTGGGCGATCCATGTCTTCAGCGGTGTCCGGATCCGATAGAGTATCAACGGTAGTGCTGTCTAAGCCTTCTGCGGAGTCGTCGTTGTTTTCATCCTTGTCGCCCAGTTCCTCCACGGGTTTTCGGCCAGTGAATACCCGGCGCACATTCTCCACGGTATGCGGATCGACCTCGTCTTCAGCGTCCGGAGTCCCGCCGATTATAGAATATGGACCAGAATAAGTGATCACCGCAGCGATGGCCGACGCAATACGCTGGTATGCGGTGACATAGAGAGCGCCCTTTACCAATCAAACGGTCATCCCATACACGGCCTTTGAACAACACACCTTGTTTGCCACAATCCACCAATCGGGCTGCTCATCTTCGGGGAGTGGTTGGACCTGTATATCCACCACGCCGCAACTCCGTCCACGCTTGGCCAACCTGTACACGGCGCCAGGCAGACCGGACGGGCGCTTGTCGGTTCAGTTCGGTTCAGAAGCTTTTTTTGCGAACCCTGAACCTGAACCTAGGTTCGGTTCAGGCAATTTCTCGAGCCTTGAACCTGAACCTCAGGTTCAGTTCATTTGGATTCAGTTCAGGTTCACTTCCGTTTGAACCCCGAACCGAACCCACAAATTATATTAATATATATATAAATCGTATTCAATATTGCCATGGCTTCTACAATGACAGGGTAGCCAAGCTCCTTCAGCAATTTGAGCACATCCAAGGTCAGCAGGACACCTTGCGGCAATAGATGATGCAGTGAAAAAGCACTATAGAGACCGTGTTGATGCCCGGCGAGTCTTTATATGGCTGGTCCACGCACTATGAAATTCGCTGGTCTGTTACTGAGCGAGCTGAGCAACCTGGCCATATAGAAAAATTTGCACACACACACCAGGTTGCCCGTCGCTCACTGGCAGCGGGCTCGCAGACTGTCACTAGCAAGGGCCATCTCTCAGCCCGCTCTCATTCTTCTTGTCAATTTTCTATACAAAAGGACTAGTTTGCCAGTTCAGCCCGGCTTATAGGAGGTGATGTGCGGAGGATTACGGCGCATCACTGGCATAAGTGACACTTATGGCTAAAGCGGTTCGGACCGGTCCGAACGGGTTCGAACGGGTTCTCAAATTTTACTCACTGGCCGGACCTTGAACCTGCGGTTCGGTCCAAAAACTTGCTTTTAGTGAACCTGAACCTGAACCTGAGGTCCAGTTCGGTCCAGTTCGAGTTTGAACCACAAGTTGAACCGAACTTTTGACATCACTAGTCTGGACAGCGGCCACTTGTCTGTCGGAGATCGGAGTAAAAGCGCTGCCTTGTTGCCGTGGGCTCGACCGCGTCTATATCGATACGGTGGGGCGGGAGCCAGCGTCGCAGGGTAGCAGCAGGTGGCATTTGGGCATGGGCGCATCACCAAAAGGTCGGCCTCCTTGAGTGATCCGTAAGGCCAAATAAGGCACGCTCGAGACACCAACTTGCAAGCCCCGTGCGGCTTTCCGCCTCGGCCAACCTCGGCAAGCTTCAGCATTCAATCAGCATTCACGATTAAAACTGAGAAATTTTCGGACCCGTGACCGTCACGGTATTAATTGAACAAAGACTATACGGGCACTGAAAGCGAGGTTCGAGCTGCGGCGTGCAACTAACCCTCGATGTGCTTGCCGCGACTTTGTCATGCCGAACGAAGAACCACAGTTTGACCAGTGCTTTGTACATAAGTGACCATCTATTCAGTGGCAACGAGGAGAGTGATGGTGAGGGAATATTCATGTGTTCCAATTTGTTACGAAACTCACAGGTACATATACTCTAAGTGACTTTGGGGACCGCGGTCTTAGATATTTACAGTAATCTACGACACTAACTTTACAGCCCTTTGCGGAACTTAGGGCGCGGCTCTTTTTTTTGTTTTTTTCACACTTTTCACGAGAACAGTTGTTTTGAGCTTAATTATTTTCCGTTTGGCTTAAAAATAGGCTCATTCTGTCGGGAATTGAAATGCGGAGGTGCCCACCATCTTCATTTGCCCTGATGCGATCAGAATTGCCTTATTGGGAAAATACCAGTCTTTTTGTACATTATGATCAGTGTAATAGCTATAGGTATCCAAATGTTCTGGAAATTTGAGACAATGGTCTTGGTTGTATTACTGAGGTGCAGAGATACCGGTATTTTTAGTATGTGCTTTATTTCATCTGTATTCTGCCTTCTCACAGAGATAGATATTTAAATACCTTGTGTATAGAAAATACATATGATATAAAAAATACCGGTATCTCTGCACCTCAGTAATACAACCAAGACCATCATCTCAAATTTCCAGGACAGTTGGATACCTATAGCTATTGCACTGATTATAATGTACAAAAAGACTGATATTTTCCCAACAAGGCAATTCTGATCGCATCAGAACAAATGAAGATGGTGGGCACCTCCGCATTTCAATTCCCGACAGAATGAGCCTATTTTTAAGTTAAACGGAAAATAATTGAGCTCAAAACAACTGTTCTCGTGAAAAGTGTGAAAAAAACAAAAAAAAGAGCCGCGCCCTAAGTTCCGCAAAGGGCTGTAAGTAGTTTGAATCTATGTTTGACTGATTACTTATGTAAGGTTCCAAAATCTGGCGCGCAACCTGTGTATTCTAACAGGCACTGCGTTCAACCCCTTGGTAGACACAGGTCAGCTAGACATATACGGTTGACGAGACGGTCGAGCTTCGATTTCGAACTCGGGTCGCCAGATGGCCGTGATGGAACATCGGGTAAAGAAGATTTTGATCGATCAGTTTTATTTAAAGTGCCATCGGCACGGCCATTTGTACAAATATATCCAAACTCAGTGTGGGTCCATCGGATATAGACATACATACATATGCATAAGGTTCTGTCTGACATAGTGTAGACACAGCCATCAAATTTACTGGAACGCCGTTCCCATCAAAATGATTGGAACGGCGTTCCAGAAATTTTGATGGCTGTGATACATCTAGGCGCCAGTTCGCGTTCTGGCGGCCCTGGCACCAATTCACGTCTGGCAGCGCTGGTGCTAGAACCAGAGTAGCCAGAATATTTTGGTTTTCTTGATGCACTGCCAGTGAGTGTTGGGCAAGTTTACAATGGAGTTGCAAATTTGCAATGGAGAAGTGGAAAGAACTAGAAACTAAACACTAAAAAGGCTACTTATTAACCTTTGGTGAATCCAGCCTACTCAGATTTTATGTTGTTGCATATCAATATGGATTGTTAAGATGACATGATATCAAGGTACATAATCCGAGTCTGAGTGATCATCGTTCAGCCCGCTGCCCTCCGAGCCCTCAGTCGCGTCGGGTGCAGGTGGAAGTTCAAGCGGAAAAATGTCATCGAACTCGAACTTCTCACAAAGCTGGTTGCAGTTGTGAGTATCAATAAAACTCTGGATGCCTTCCAATCCAAAATCCCCGAGACCCGATCCACTGGATGGAGCACATCAATTGACACAGTTCACTGATATTAAACTTGAATGACTCACCCCTCCACTGTGTGTGTCATTGGATTGAAGAAGATAATTCTGTCATTGCCACGGACCGGAGCTGGAGTACCTTGGAGGTCGGCCATGATGAGCGATCCACTGGTTGCACCAAAGACATAGTGTGCGAAGCTATGCTGCTATGGACTGTCTCAGTCTGCAGGT